ATGCGATCGCTCCAACATTGAATGCTCCAACTCAAACTGAAGCTGTTGCAAGAGAAACAGAGATGGCTCAAAACAAGATTCTCTATTCTGCAAAGCTCGACGAGAACATGCGAAGATCAGCCTACTTTGAAACAAACAAGAGAACTGTCAAGTCAAATATCATGCTTAAGTTTGTGACAAAAGCGATGGATATCAAGCTTTGAGGTGAAGCTGATTTCACAACTACTCTTGAAGATCCAATCGAACTCTTGAAACGTACTGAATGATTCATGAAGAAGAGTGCTGATGCTGAGTATGACTTCTTGGATTTCTGGGAAGCCAATCAAAAGTTCTTTGCTATGAAGCAGGGAACAACCGAAAACTTGATGCATTTCAAGGAACGATTCTTGAGACAGGCTGAAGTACTACAAGATCTATATGGCGTTGCCTGGTTCCGAAATTTTGCAGTTAAGACGAAGGCGTATGCTGCTATTGCTAGCACCGATACTACTGCTAAAGACAAGTTCAAGGATGATATCTTTGAAGCCGTTCTTGCAACAGGATTCCTGTGCAACTGTGATTGAACGAGAACAGCTCCTCTGATGCTGGATCTTCAGACAAACTACTGCAGGGAAGTGGATTATTATCCAAAGACGGTCAGCAAAGCACAAGATATGTTGAAGATTCACATGGATGTGATCAAGAATCCGGGAGTGAACCTTTACCAAGGAAAAGACCAGCCAAATAAAGGTAAAGGTAAACCGAAGGACAATAAGAAAAGGCAGCATGTTATGTATGTGGCAAAGAGGACCATATGTCTCCAAAATGCCCAGACAGACTGCTACCAGAGATTCAATGGAAGCATCCGAAACACTATGTTGATTACGGGAAGAAGCTCAATCTTAATCAGATTGGAGCAACTATCCCAGCTACAGCTACAGTTCCTGCAACTTCTCCAGCGACAAGCGTTATCACTGGTGGTACATCCAGTGTTGCGGGAAGTGTTAACACATCTTTGCGACTTGCTGGTGTTGTTTTGTTTCTGACATTATTTTTTCTATGCAACTTGCTGGTACTACAGGTAATCAAATGATGTAAGTTCCTTCGGGAATGCAGCCTATGCAGATACCAACTCAAGGTGGCGGTACTGTTACTGTCCCTTATTCTATGAATGCTAATGGTGAGATTGCGTTCAGTGGAATGCAACTCAGCCAACAAGGCTTCAGTGGTGCTCAAGTGCGCCAAGGGTTCGATGCAACTCCAGCTCAAACTCCGCAGGTTGTGAAGACTGGCTATTATGATACATCAAATGTCTTCCACGATGCTATCAAGGGAAAGGATGAGAATGGCAATAATGTCTATCTTATTCCATGTCCTACTGGAACAACTAACGTCGAACTTCAATCCGACTGGCACTATGCTAGTAAAAGTGAAGACTTGCCAGATCTTGCTACTGAAGCAGATCGAGGTATGCAGTTTATTCAAAGCCGCAGAATCGAAAGAGATCCGCTTGGTTTGCTCGATCACGTCATCATGGACAGTGGTTGCACAAACACCACCATTTGTAATGGTGAGCTCATGCATGGACTACGTCAAGCTGAGAAAGAGCTTGATATGCACACTAACGTGGGCAGCAGAGTTCTTGATGAAGAAAGGTTTCTAGGAAGATTTCCGCCTCCAGTCTATTTTAATGAAGACGGAATTGCCAATGTACTTGCTATGCGCGAGATGATTGCTGCAGGATACCGCATAACCATGGATACTGATTTTGACAATGCCTATGTTGTGCATTGCGATGGAGACAGACAGATGCGATTTGTGAATCGTAAGGGTGTATATGTGTTGGAGCAACTTGGAGCGGATGTCAAACCAGGTGCCAAAGAGACAAGTGTGATGTATCGTTGCCAGTTAAGCAACGTAAATAAACAACCCCATTTCGAACTTTCTTCAAAACAGAATGGATATGCTGGACTTGGGATGACTGCGAAGATGGCAACGGTTCAAAAGAACAAGGAAGGATTCACTCCAAGACAAGTCAAGGCTGCGATGGAAGCGAGAAGTGCGATGCACATACTCAATGCTCCAAGCACCAAAAGTCTGAAGTATGCGATCCGATCTGGTCTCATCAAG